CCTGCTCCCTGGGCTGCACCTCTGCCTCCAAAGATGTGGAGACCTTCCGGACAGAGATCGAGGATTGCCAGAACAAGAACCAGGACCTGCTCCTCCGCATGGACAGCAATTACGACCTCCTGCGCAAGCTGAACGCCACCATCCTGGAGATCCAGCGGCGGATCGAGGAGGAAGCATCGGGAGCTTTGCAAGGGGAGATCACCTTGCTAAAGATCAACCTGAACACAGTGAGCAAATCTCTGACTGGGCTCAAGGACTCCGTGTCCCAGTACTCAGACACCGTGACACATGTCAACTCCTCACTAGACGAGCATGAGCGGAAGATTGAGGATGAGGTTCACTCCATCCAGGAGAAAGTCAACGACCAAGGCTCTCAGCTTTTCTTCAGCAACCGCCGTGTCCTGAACCTGAAGGGAGACCTGGAGCGACTCAAAGCCAGGATTGTCAGCGACCTGAGCTCCTGCAAGAGCGTGGCCCACGGCCTGCAGCAGGAGGTGTCTCACTTTGACGAGCGGGTGGCGCGGGTGGAGAGCGCCTGCGGCAGGCTGGGGACTGTCACCGGCAGCCTGGACGGCATCAGGGAGGAACTGGAGAAACACACGGGCAGTCTGTGGGACTACATGGACCACATGAACGGGACACTGGCTGCCCACTCTCAGGAAATAACAGGACTGAAGGACAACTTGCTTGACTGCCAAGCCAAGGTCTCTGAGCTGGCAGAACAGGTTGGGCACTTGGAGGAGAAGGCGGAGAGGAGGCAGCATTAGCCACACTGCCATGCCATGTGTCTTCCTTCTCCTGCTGTGAAGGACAGGATTAAATTATATCACACAGACTCACTCCAATGTGACAACAGTTCTTGGGATATTTTTTTTATGAAAAGCTGCTACATTTTTTTTTCCCTAATCTTGTTGGCCCCACTTGTCCTTAACTCCACCATGCTGGTACTCCCCTCCCGATGCTCAGCAACTATTCTGACCCTGGTGCAGCAGTGTCACTGCCTCCTGGCTGGAGATGTTACTTTGGCTCCTGGGCTGATGATCCCAGAAGGACAATTCAAGAGTAAACCAGAGGCAGAAACATTTTTTTTAATTTTATTTTTGTGGATTTATAATTTCTTGAAGAATAAAACCCTGTAGTTATCAGCTGAGGAATAGTATCTCTGGCCTAAAGACCACCTGCATCTTAATCCAGAGACTCAAGCAGAGCCAGGAGTCCTTGCAGGGAACAAAACTCACCACAGGAATTGTAGATTTCAAAGAACACACGTATTCACACGTCCCTCTGGGAACTGGCTTCCCTTCTCTGAGATGGCAGCCCTCCTTGTGTATGGTAAATCCATTTATAATGCTCCCTCCTCCATGCAGATGCACATGCCTTATGGAGCATATGAGGCTGTGCAATAGGAAAACACATGCATATGTAGATGTATATATATGGTATGTGTATATATATTTTTGAACAATTGTGTAATGGTGCTCATCTGATTCTAGTTTCCTAATGCTGCCCCTATATCCTTTGCCATATTCCAAAGACCCACACTGAGTAGCTAAAACTGTGGCAGCAGTTTTTGGCGAGAGCCTTGCATTCCCTGGGGGAGCTGTGCTTTGCAATCCCACTTTGGGGGGGCTCTCTGGTTACACCTGGGAATGGCATGGTAGGTTATGGAAAACACGTGTCTTCCCCGAGGAGACATATATCCGTAGGTCTCTGCAGAGATCAAGCTGGGCATAGAGCAGTCCTATCCTCCAGCTCTGGCTCTCTCCTGTTTTATTGCTTAAACTTGAGAACTCCATCAGCTCGTCCCAGGCAGGAGAGTTCCAGCTGCTCCAGGGTGTGAGTACAGCAGTGGAGGAGCAGGAGCCTGCATCCTCCTTATTGTCTTCTGATGCCACTGGAATGCCAGTAGCCCTGGGACCAACACCAATGTGGAACAAGGCAGGGCATCTGTGAGCACACCTTGGCTCATCATTTTCCCAGCTTGACTCTGGTTTCCCATTACGGGCAGGCTTGAAAAATATTGTCAGTGTTGTTGAACATTCCAGCCTTCCTGTAAACTGCTATTGCACACAGAGTCCACCTCTCTGAGCCTACCACGGCTGATCACCCTATGTGGACTTCAGTACTAGGATGAGGAGGAAATTCAAGAGCCTCCATCCAGCAATTCTGGCACTATTTCTAGCAGAGGAACATATTTTTCTCTCAGCATTGTAGCTCATGAACCCTTCCACACCAGCCAGCCTTTGGCTCTCACACTGTGCCTTTCACCCTCAACAGGCTGTCCCTGCTCTTCTGCACCCTGATCTCTCCTGATTGCAAAAAGGAGCAGCTCTCTGCTCTGACTAGCACAAACCAGCCGCAGCTCCCAGCACAGATGCATCTGAGCACCCTTTCTCCCCTAGAAAATCTGTGTGAGCTCCCTTTAACATGTTTCCAGGCTAGGAAGGACCACAGGGGATCACTGAGTCCAGTAGCCACACCATGTTCCCCT